AAGATCTCGTGATCCCTCTCAGCAGCCAGCCCAGGCCCCATGGGGGAAGTCCCCGACTTATAGGTAGGTGAGTGACAGGACGTGACACGAAGCATCTTCCACACCTCACCTGTAATCTGGTATGATATATCATACCACACCTCCGTGCATTGCGAACATATAACCAACCCCAAACCTCCGACCCCCACAAGTGGATCACCACAGCCGTTTCTCCCAAAGTTCTTAACAAGGCCGTGTATCGCCTCTAACAAGGCTTCCGAGGAAGAAAGGGCCAGAGAGAAAGATGTCAGCACCAAAAAAACCTTACTAGAGCTAAGTTACCCATCAACAATTGGTGTATGTAACCCCGTTGCCAGAGCCCAGAGTGCCATCTGCGCCACTCATTTCACTTCCGGTTCAACGGCGGGCACGCGATTGGCTGCCTCAGACCTCTATCACTCGGACAGACAAAAGTATCCACTTCACATCTGGACGCGTGCAAATATGGACAGCACATCTCGCACAGGACATAGAAAGTCCAATCATGAACTATTATTCGAGATGATTAATTTCCATCCATGAACAGCCACATCCGGAATTCCCCTTCATGCTCTTTTCTCCCCATCCACCACCGGGCGGACCGCAGCCATGTCTTTCCTCAAACACCCGTCCGACCAACAAAACAAACCGCCTGACATCCTCCTCAGCCCGTGGCCCCCTATCCTATATTGCCCACTGGCCCAAGCGAAATGCACATTCAACATGAGGTAAAATCCACAATAGCAATATTAATCGCCAACTTCTTCTCTATATCCGCTAACGCAGCCCCCCCCCCCCCCCTGCTAGGCGTATTTCTGCAAGCAGGCCAAAAATCCTAGGCCGGATCGATCCCCCGAGCCTGGGCGAGGCCGGTCAACTTTGAGACCTTATTTCCTACATCAGCAACCCACCTCCACCACGCTAAACAGTGGAAGAGAGCACGCTTAATATTCCCACACTGCGACGCCTCCACAGCACCACCACCCGCAGCTTCAATCACTAGACTAAAAGCCTCTATCCCAGCGTTCTATGCATTCTCCCGCTCAGCCTTGTGAACCGCCGGCTCCGCTGCTGCGGCGGTGGTCAAGTCTAATAGACCCGTCTCCGCAGCCTGACCACCTGGGTTTCTGCCTCTGCACGGTCCCGCGTGTTCGGTTGAAACCGGCGTGTCATTATATCAGCAGAAGGTTAGCTCGCGCTTTGGGCGAATGCAGAAGTGGTGGCGCTGCGAGGACCAGGGCGGAGGGAATAAGAGGCATGATATTAAGCTGAACTACGTTTGCGGATGGATGTGGTGAGTGAGTGAGGAAGTGTGAGGAAGAGAAAAAAAGAAGAAAAAAAGAGAAAAAGGAGGGGAGTACACAGTACTGCACAGAAAAGATATCCGACGGGCGGTGAGCGAAGAGGAAAGAGAGCTCCAGGGAAAACCGTTAGTGTTCTTGTTCGAAAAAAATAGATTTTCACGGACACCATTATACACCCCCCTCATCCATCACCAAATCCCGACGCGAGCAACTCCCCACCCGATCTTTGACCACATCTACAAATAAGTAATCCCTTTATTGCACTACCGAAGGGGCCGTAAGGCAACATCCCCTTCTTCACCCTCCTAGCCCTTTCCCAAATTAGGCTCAAGTCAGCCCTCCCCCGATTGTACTTTTTTGCCATATAAGGTAAGGCGGTACGTGAGCTAGATGGCGAGGTTAAGTGTTCCAGCACAGCACAATACCCGAGTACCGTCGGATACGTATCATAAACGGCCTAGGCGAACCGCACTAGTGCTGTACTAACGCATGAGGACAAACTACGTTAGCAGGTTCCGTTACCAGGCCAACAGGTCTCTATCCTACGGCTAATAACTCAGCACGGTATGATACCAAAGTAATCACAAAGGAGCAAGGTTCCCCCCCCCCCCCAATTGAAGTTCGCGCGTGGCGCCAAGGACGCTAAACGCTCACAAATACCGGTATGTGTAAACTTTATTCGCGCCTACGGTAGTTGAGTTTGCGCGCAACCCGGGGCAGTTGATATATCCTGAGGACGCTGTTCGAAACTTCTCGATGGGGTTTTGGGAGACGCTGGGGTGTTAGTTGGCCTGAGCCTGAGCCTGAGCCTGGACTGGACAACCGTAGACTACCATACGGCAGCTTATGCTCTCGCACGGGAACTCGAACAAAATGCTCAACATGTTACTGTGCTGGTGTAGTGTCATAACCTAACTTGTAGCTATGATACGATACGACAGGGCGCCTCAACATGGCGGTAAGAGTGCTATGGCAACTAAACCTCGGACAGAACTTCCAACCATCCATCCCCAAACCCACTCCGTCATGACTACATACTCGCTATATCATACCAGTAACTTACTGGAGTACAGTACAAGTAATTACGTATAACAGCACCAACAAACTAATCCAATCCCATACCAGCACCGTACAGAAAAAAAGGAAAAAAAACATATCAAAGAAAGAGCGCTTATCATACTGCAGAGTACAAGGAACAGATCTTATGATTCTTGCAAATACCCTACCATATGATACCAAAACACCGCGACGATCATCACTAGATTTAGTACTGTACCCTAACCCTATGTATAGTACGGTACTCGTACAAGTATCAGTACCAACCAGGTCCGCCAAAAAAAAAAAAAAACAAAAAAAAGAAGCACGAACCGGGAAACGTGGTTTATGGTACGGTACGGTACTCGCACAAGTATCATGCAATGCCCCAATGGATCAAATAAAAGCTGGCCCAAGGATCGACACTGCGCCCGCGATACCAGATCGGAAACTGAAACGGGTTGGTTGGGTTACATCGCGGTTACATACAGTACATACCTGTATTGGTATGATACCGTACCGTGCGCCGGGAAGCGCGGTACAGTACTCGTACAGGATTTCATTTAGCGCGTAGGGGTTGGCCACACCGTCTGCCTGGGGTAGGTAGGGTACGGTATTGGCCCGGGAAAAAATCATTAGGTACAGTGCTAGTGCACACTTGCCATGGTCTATCATAGAGTGAGTGAGTGAGTGGAGGTTGGGCTCAGCCGCAACTTGCACTCACTATAATAATACCACAGCGGTCATTCGATATAACTATCATACTATAGCAACTGTATGGGTACGATACCGGTATGATCACTTGATAAAGCCCAATCCGGTTATCGTCTATGCTGGATAGAGATGTATGATACCTCGCCCCCCCCTTACTCACACAGTTATATTGCACGCAGTTCAATTCTGCCTCCCGTCAAAGTTATCAATAGACTAGAAACTCCATTCTCACATTTTTTTTTTCCTTCGACACTTTAGTCCAAGTTGCAATTCGTGCTACCGGTATTAGCATAAATTTAATGTCGGGTGACTGGACCGGATCAAATAAGGACCAAAGCTGGCTGCTTCCGAAGGCGCAGCCCACCCGATGTGATACACACTAGACGCCAACTTGCGCTCTCTGCCTTTCAGCCATTTCCCTAGCGACAGGCGCACCTGGGACGGGTCGAAGGCTTAATACCATAACTGGGAGATCACCCGTTGTTTCCTGAGCCTGCCGATCCGGCGAGGTGGATAGAGATAGCCAGGATGAGAGGGGGGCGGTGTTGAAACGGTGAGGGTGTGCTGGCAGCCTTGGGAATGCTGGCGGAGGATATAAGAGAGAGGTGTTAGAGGTTCGATTTTGTCGTGGGGCATTCCTTGCTACCATCGCTACCAAATCTGAGCACCACACACAACGCTCCGAATATCCACCTCTGTCATAGACACAAATCAAAACGCCCTACCTACCCACCTTACACCAGAAACTTCCCCCAAGCTAGCATATAAACCTCCACACACACGAACCCACCCACACACAACTATGACACGAGCCACTCTAACCCTCCTTATCCTTCAAACAACAACAATACTCGCCCACCCCCTAACAAAACGCAAAGGCGGGGGCGGGGGCGGGGGCGGCCGCTCTAGCGGAGGAGGCGGAGGCGGCGGCTCATCACTATCCAACGGGTCCTCCGCGAGCTGGAAGGTCGTGCTCGCGGTCCTGGGTTCGGTTATCGGAACGTTCCTACTGCTTTACCTCATCTTCTGGGAGTGCGCTCCCGGCGGGAGGATCTACGGGTGGGTGATGAGGGTGAAGGATGAGCGGCTACTGAGGAGGTGGGCCAAGCACGACGCGGAGGATGCGGACACCAGCGTGAATGGGAGGCGGATGGGGGGCAGAGGAGGAGGAGCGGAGATGGGAGAGGAGGGGACGATGTATACTCCCATTGCTTATTAGTACTGGTAGTCGCATTCTCAAGAAGCTATAACTAGCGCGTACCTTTTTCCAACCCCCCCCCACTCCCATAGCGTCCCTACCTACCCACCTACCGTATCATGTTCATACCATCCGGATAAGCGGCGAACCACATTTTTACCCAATCCAATCTCATGTATCCGCACCATTACTACATATCAACAGATTTCCCGCTCGGAACATCCATCCATCCATCCCACGCAGGAGTGCGCACTCTACCGGTAGAATACAACTCACGAACAAAATATCTCACACGGATGATGAATAACGATCAACAAAAGCCAATTATCTGACCCACCTACCTACCGGACCCAACCGATCCGGTACGATACCGGTACGATACCGGTACGACAGATGAGCGGTAGATACAGTACCAAAGCATCATCTCATGAAAAAAAGGAAAAGAAATTAGAAAATTGAGTGATAGTGATTTGATAGATACCCGTATCGATGGTCAGGTATGATGTAATACCAGGGGTGTACCCCATACAGGTAAGGCGCTCCCAGTGCAGTCCAGTGCAGTCCAGCCTAAACAGTGCTTATTTCGCACTAAAATCCATCCAGCCACCATTCTTTCTTTTTCAACCTTAAAAGGTTTTTTTTGGCTTTGGGAGAGAGAGAGAAAGCTTTCATTCGCGACGGGCACCGTTGTAGGAGGGATTACGATACGATATCAATGGCGAGTATTAATCAGAAATGGCATATGATATCATAAGGATTTAGAACCCATCGGGGGTGTGCGGTAAGGCTCGGTAGAAGGGAGAAAAGAAAAGAGGAGAAAAGAAAAGAGGAAGAAAAATTCTCGTGCGATACGATACAGTGTGTGCGATAGTAGGATAGTAAGCGATCTATTGTACGGTACGGTGTGATACGGGTACTGCACTATTGTCGCGCAAGGCCACTGAGCACATTGCGAGTATTGTAACTGTGGATTGATCGATTGATGATTGACTGGATGGATGCCCGTCGAATTGCAGGATTGCACTCGTGCACGATGTGAGATGGCTACCGGTAACAGTTGCAGTAATACCTCACAAGGGATTCTCAGCTCGGGGAGCGCATAGTGGGTATGATACAGTACTGGCACAGTACAGTACGGTACTGTAGTTGGATATCTCGCCTCACTTCCGCGCAGCGGGGCTCCGTATGAGACGGATAACGTAAATTGCATGATACGAAGTTCTACTATTATTGGTTTTCCCTTTTTTCCCGCCCGGTGATCACCCGTTGTCCGAATCCCGGTAACCCATTCAGACCTGGAAAGCCCAAGGAAATAAATCCACAGCTTTCGGACAACTGTACCTCTTCTTTTCTTTTCTTTCCCCTTCTTCCCTTTCCCTGTCCCTCTCTTCTTATTCCCTATTTCCGAGGAAAAGAAAAAAAACTTCTCCGATGGGGACTCCTAAGCATGACCGTACCTTCCAAATAATTAGGCGATATCGTGCTCACGTGGCGTACCAACCCTACCCTACGGCGCTCACCGGTAGTACAAGGCAGAAAGGAAAAAAACTCCCATCCGAACGGGCAAACCCCCCAATCAAGGGAATAGACGCAGCAAACCTGAGCCTTAGGGCTACAGTCTCATACCTGCCCAGAGCCAGCAAAGCCCATTCTGGTGAATAAGAGACGATTCCACGGAGCCGGGCGCGGATAATCCCCTCGTCACCAAACCCTTCTTTTCCAAAAACTGCGCATAAGAAACCAGAGATCGTCCCAACAGATTCGAGTGATTTTTCCTGACGCGTTGCATGGCGTAGCGTGACACTGCCCTCCACGCCACGGGCGGGAGGGAAATTGCTACAGTATCGCATCCCTAAGCCGTGCCCATTCACAGTGCATTACCGTACCCCAAGCGCCCGAGCATAACCCAAATCACTCGACACAAGTACGATAATCAGGATGCACCCAAACGAGGCAGTGAAAGTCAGTCTCAACCAAGTTACCGGCGGACGCCGGTCAAGATTCGTACCGTACAGTACCGGACGGGTGCCGTACATTCGATAGGTGAGTCACCGCGGATCAGTCAGGAAACCCAAACACACGCGCAAATACGGTACTGCACTGTACAAACATACGCGAAAAGCCGGCAGTGGTTCCACCCGCATATCGTACAGCGCACGAACGACAACGCGAGCCCCCCCGCCTCAGGAGACGGTCCCTGATTCTGGCCAACCCTACCGTACCGTAGTCTACCCATAACCTCGAGGTCAATGACTCCGTCGAATTCAAGTCGGATGCGCATGTCCTCGCGAATACGACGTGACACGGAGGGGGGAAGGAGGAAAAAAAAAACACAAGATATAGGATCCCAGACCAATAGATATTCCGTTCCGTTCCCGCGTTGACGCGGGTAAGATACTGGCTCGCTTGCGGGTCGCGGGAGAGGGGGGATATGGTCGTCGGCCCACGTTGAGGCATCGGCATGGTGATCACCCGTCGTTCTGGTCGGCGACGCGGGGACGGAGGAACTCCGGATCCCTTTTATATGTTCCCTCGAAGAAGCAAGGTGCGGGAGTATTACAAGTAGCGGTGGATGACGCGTTTATGGTGATTCTTATCGCTGTTGCACTCCCGTTACGATTTCGGATAATTAAGAGCGGTAACTCCGGGGGGTGGTTCTGCTGACTGTGGTGTGTGCGAGAGAGTCGCGGGGGATGTTCCGTAACGGTCATGGAAAATCACTTGTGGCTTGGTGATGGATGACTGTCCCGAGGGGTATGGGCCTGAGTAAGTACTGTAAGTAATTAAGGCACGATACGAGGAAGAAGGGGAGGAAGAAGAAAGAAAACATGTGGAAGGTATAGTAAATTGATGTACTCACCTACAGTACAGTACTTGCGTAGACGAGGTGCCCGGGATCTCCCGGAGGGCAAATCGAAAGTGAATCATTCACGCAGGATAATATCGTGATGACTTTCCTTTTTTTCCCCAACCTTTTCAGGACCACCGGTACATTAGAGGCCGCCACCGATAATCTCACCAGATTGCAGACCTCGGGTGGTCGCCGTTCAGGATCGGTTTCTGCTTACAAATTCCCTCTTCAGCACGATGGAAGGAGGAAGAAATAGAAGAAACAGGCCGTTGGAGTGGAGTGGAGTGGAGTGGAGTGGAGTGGAGTGGAGTGGAGTGGAGTGGAGTGGCGTGGCTTCGATCCGTATACGGCAGACTTCGGTACGTATGATAGGCCAACCCCCCTCGGAGTCAGACATCAAGCATCATACGCCTATCCGAGTGAAAGCCCAAAGAAAGCTCTCCCATCCAGCGGGGAACCCCACAAGGGCTGTGAGGAGGAGGAACAGGAGGACATGGCATACCAGTACAGTATCATAGCCTCCGCAGCGAACGTGGCCCTCCTGACTCGGAACCCCCATGGCCAAGGGGGGGGGG